TTTTCTGAAAATGTAATGGATATTTGTTAAAGGCACCGTTTCAAGATAAACAGTGCTTTCTGCAGTTCTTCTTTAGCACCAAAAATGTAAATAGAAACTTCATAGTACTTACACTTTCACCTTCAATGTTCTGAAATAGCTTAGGGTCATCAAAGTCACATGATTCACTTGTAGAAGGTAACTGGCTGAAAAAAACAATGTTACGGTTTAGATTTTTTAAAATCATTAAGCGTGAATGGAGGATAAAAGTATCATCTGAGATGTAAATGTGTCATTAGTTCCAAACAGGGACTGTTTATGGTTATGAACAGTTTATGTCAGTATGGTAAGTGAGAGAAGAGAATTAAAGAGGTAGCTTCAAGCAAACCTGTACTGAGAGAAATAGGCTGCCACTAATGACATCCTTTGGAAAATACTGGTTGCCTGGCTGTTTCTGGTTTTAATACATTCTGATTCACTTACTAGTAACAAACAAGTAAAGTCAGAGCAAGTCTGGACTTCTAACTATATACAACAGGAATTCTAAGCCATGTGAGCCAGGCAACTTTCACCACTGGTTTACTCTAAAGACTCCTGCAAGCAGGTGTCAAACTGCGTAAGCAAGTGCCTAACAGCCCCCATTCTTCTGCATGTAAGCACAAGCTCTTATATATGCACACCATAAATCAGTACTACAGCAATATATGCACCCCAACACCCACTACACTGTGCTGCACTACTGACACATACTGCATTTACTTGATAGATTGAATTCAGGAAAGTAGGAGCAATCGGATGATATGATGCCTGCTTTAAATGCAGCAGCCTCACCACAGCTTTTAGGCCCCTGTTACACCAGGGTGCTTGGGGCGCATCCCCATTGATCCCCATTGGGTCCCTGGATGCATGGCAAGCGTGGAAAAGTAGTACATGTTGCAAATTTGGCAGCATGTATTCAGCGTCTTTTTCCCATGTGTTCGTGTGCATTCTCACGTGCACAGGAAAAAAAAACGTGTTTGCTTGGCCGCGTTTGGGGTACCATTGAGCGTGTTTCGTGTTTGTGCACATATTGTGAATGTGCATCAAAAGCATATACGTTTGTTCACAATACCTGCTGTGGTGAACGGGGCCTCAAAGCTATAAGGGGTCATGCCCAATGCAGCTGTTTCCATGTCAACACAGCTGCATTTTAATGGAAAAAGCAGCCTTTGACAAAAATCTACTGTGTGTGACTTGTTTGCAGTTTAAAAGCACCACAAAGTCTAAAGCCGCCCATACACCTTGCGATCATCGGACGAAACGTTTCTTCCGATGATTGAACTGTCGTACGATTTTCGGACGGCGGCCCCATCCTGCCCCGATTATCGCAAGGTTGGATCAGCGGTAGTTAAAAGAAAGCACCTGAACGAATTGCGGTAATCGACCGCACGTATTTTCATCTGCGCATGTGCAGTGTAAATGCCTGAATTTTGATGTACGGAAACACCACCAACTTTGCGAAAATCATACGATCGACCAAAGTTTTCTAACCTGCTGGTTAGTCAAAAGTTGATCGATTGTACAGTATTTGCAGTTGTACACTGCCCATCAACCTTAAAAATTTCGGACGAAAACGCGGTTGCATGCGAAAATCGGACGATATTTGTAAGGTGTATGGACACCTTTAAGAAAATCAGTACAATGCAAAACAGACCAATTAAAGTCTCTAAACTGTCATGAGTGCTGCTTCATTAGAGTCAATAGAAATTTGCAAAGTTGCATTTGTCGTTCTTGTCCAATGCAGGAAAAAAACACCCTTGTACATAAACTCTAATACTGACATCATAAACAGGATTGCTACCTTTTAATTTTACAATCTTACAGAATATGAAACAGCAAAATCAGAGACACAACATCACTCCAATAAACTGCACAAACACAATCTACACACGTTAACTGAATGTGCTAAAGGTTCTGCTAGAAACACAACTCTCTTCCATACACTGGCTAGTTTCCTCCACTGTGAATCTTACTGCTTTCTTCTAGAAATCCCTCCATAATGTAAAGGAGTATGTCATTCTCTATAGTCGCAGGGAAAAAAAAACATATGGTCATTTCAGTTTCAAAACTGGTGGAAATGGTATATATTCACATTGACTTCCATGCTTTAATCTAAGGATTTTGGAGGGGTCTTTGAGGGAATCTGCACTGCGTCATAAAACAGCTTCTAATGGCAGACAGGATATAAGCGCTGAAGCCTTCAGCCAAAATATTAAATCGTTGGATAGGAATTTGACTGAAACTAATTACTATGCGAAAGCCTTTAAGTAAACTTAAAAAAAAGAAAAACACATAATCACTGCATGTCATACGGGTCTCGCAAGATTGCTTTTCTTATGTATATAAAGTAATGTATGTGGTCATATATACATATGGAATAGCGTATACATATGTGGATGAGGAGAAAACCAGGCAAACACTGACATCTCCTCACTCCGTCAAGTCTCCGGTAAATTAAGGGCCTGCTAAGAAATGCAGCACAGTATAAACCTTTCAGCTTTGAATGAGGAAGGCTTTGGACGCAGCTAAATGGAACAGTTTCAGCCAGGTTTTGCTAAATATGGGCCCGCTGACCTCTAATGACAGTATGCCAATGTTCAGTGTGAGGAAGCCATGCCAGGAGTGCTCCTGGGCTCACCGTTAAAGGGCCAGCGAGTTTAAAGTATGGCTTTAAAAAAATAACATTAAACAGATGAATGAGTAAAATGTCTTTTTAAAATAAATATTAAACCCCACCTCTATTCAAAGCTTTCCTAGCTGTAAATAACGTAAAAAGGGCTTAATATTTGTGTCAGGTTTTTATTTTTGTCTGTGACCCTATCAGGGAGTCTCCCCTCACTTCCCGTCCTTTGTTGTCTATGAGATTGCAAGTGATGGGAATTCTCTCCAACAGGGAGACAGCAGAAATAAAAAGAGATCCTGAGGTCAGGGTATACCTAAGTTATTGTGCACCACATGTGACTCTTGCCAACCGGTTACTCTTTTTGTATATGAAGGCCTTCCTAGTCCCCCTTAGATTATCAGAAATAAAAACACCTTTATTTAGAAACCAATGCTATTTCCTCCATCAGGTATTAATTGCTGTCAATGTCTCTTCCGAAATCCAGGTGGATATCAAAAGCTAAGATGAGGTACGGTAACTATGTTACCAAGTTATTGACTCATTCAAAAAAATATATATGTATTTTTACATATTTAGGTAGGAGGTAAAAGAACTCTTGATAGCACCCTACTGTCATCTCCTGCACAGCAACTGATACCTCAATCTATATTGAGGACATGCCAATATGAGCACTGCAAGTGGTGTTTTAATGACATGGCCCTCATTGTGTCACACAATGAGGAACTCTCAATGGATCCAGTGAGGGACTCCTACAAGCTTCAGCCATTTTCAGGAGGTCTAACTCGCCCTATTAGATTTTTCACTGCTTGTTACAGTGTAAGAGCCAGTACAAATTAACTTTGCAAAGAATACCCAATAAGGTGCAAAGCTAAATGCAGGATTTTTTTTGCACATGACTGTGTGATTGAAGTATGGAGCTTCGCCTAATTCACTAACCTAAGCGAAAATTCACTTTGCTACATGAACAGTCTCTACTCCTTCAATAAATCAGCCCCAATGTTTAGTGAATGTCCCGTTCACTCATAGCCTCTTAATAGTATTTAAAAGAGAACTAAAGTAAAACCTTTTTTGGCTTTTCCTTTATTTTGGGTCACAAGAGTACATTTACTATTGTACTACTGTGACCCATAAAAGTAATGCTAATTAGCATTTTAACTAAGATCAATCAATTAGTTGGCCGATTAATCGGATAAAAAGAAAATAAATACCATCTTTTATTTGAAATAAAATACACAAAAGCAGTGTTACAAACATAAAGTTTACTTCAGAATAAATCTACAGTATAATTATTTTCTTATTATTTTTATATTTTTTCTTATTATTTTTTACTATTTATTTATTTTTTACCTTTTTTTTTAATTATTATTACTTATTAATTTTTTACTTAATTTTTTATGTAATTATTTTTTTATCATTTTTTTCACTTAACTTTATTGCTGTTACACAGGAGCTAACAATCCCCTGTGTGATAGCATTTGGACGTGACAGGTTCTCTTTACTGAACCTGTCACCTCCAATACAGGAGTTCTAGCACAGCACAGCTCTCCACTCTCACTGTGTACACGTAGCGCCAGGGTTAGTTTTAACCCTGCCACTCTTCTCACTGCTCTCCATCCTGAGGACGTCGGCGGCCAGCGAGGAGAGGACGGAGACGGAAGGACGCAGCATGGAGAGAGGTAGTTGCGGTGGGGGGAGGACGGACAGCCTGCAGTGTTATTACAAGTGATCTTGGTGACATCGCCAAGATCACTTGTAAAGAAACAAGCAGCTTCCCCCATTCTTCATTTAGCCCTGCTTGTGCAAAGCAGGGCTAAATGTAGAAAACAAATTACCGCCCGGCGCCCGGAACTCCATGTTCCGGGCGTCGGGTGACTTCAAACGTGTGACACCCCTCTTTCTGTCGCCCGAGGCCGGGCCTCGGTGGCCTTGCCGGGAGTCCGGCCCTACATGTCCCAGTGCAGAAAATCCCATTGCAGGCGGAAGGCATGTTTAGGAGGGCCATTCAAATTAATGGCACAGCAACGTACTCCCCGCAGCAAAATTTGTCAGGCCGAAACCGAAAATGACTTTTAGTTTTTTCTTTTATAATTGGGAGGCGGCTTTATTTTTTAAAACTTTTTAAATAATTTTTGTATCATTATTTTTTTACTTTACTGTTAGGGGCATTGGGGAAATATTAGGGGTCTAAACAGACTCCTGATATTTCCCTTCTGAAATAAAAAAAAGAGATTGAGTCCTCAATCTCTTTTTCTGCAGCCCCAGCATTCAATGAACAGAGGCTTCCTGTTTATTTATAAATTGAGGAGATAGAAAACAAATACTATGTCCACAATCATGATGTAAAACACTTCCTGTTCATTCATAATTGGGGACACAGTATCTGAATACTATATCCTCAGTTATTTACAAGCATCGAGTGATCAGTACTGATCACTCGGTGTTTGTTCGTCACAGGGAAGGATCGGTAAATATTTCACATATTTACCGATCCTTTACTCTACATTCTGAGCCGCTCTGCCCCCTCCCCGCTGTCACAGCCAATGATCTTTCATCTCCGCTGGTGCTGGCTGCAGCGGTCTGTGTTCCCACCGATCAATTACAGGCAGGAAAGCGCACACAGACTGCAGCATGCAGGCCTCCCAGCATGCAGGAGAGAGAGCTGCAGAGCCGATGCAGGGGGGGAGGTTTGGGGGAGCTCTCTTCACCACTGGGCACTGGCTGCAGGGGTCTGTGTCCCCTCCGATGCCCGCTGGGAGCAGCAGGGATCGGAGGGGACTGAGCACAGGTCAACGAATTGATAATTAGAAATGTTGGCAGCAAATTTTATTATCAATTATTATTGACAAAACAGATTCGTTGTTTCAGCGCTAAATGATACAGGCCATTACATTAGAAAGACTGAGGCAAAGTCTGTAGAAATACTAATAACAATGATTATATTTTTCCATTAATACATATTAATAATATGCTAATAAGAACCAGGTCTGGCACATTAACCTAATTCACCCAACAAAAAGAAGGAAAATGTATTTAAACACATTTGGCTTTTTTCTTTCTTGACACGGACTGTTTACATTCGGCCTAGTACTGTTCAATGCATGTGCTTGTATGTAATATAAACAGAGGGAGGCAGAGAACGTGTTTCACATGTCCTCTTGCCAAGGAGACCCACAAAACTTCCCTCTGTAAGACCTCGCCTGGCATTGGATTAAGGAATAAAATAATTGTGTGCGAAGAATAAATAAGAAGATTAAAGCATTTTTGTTATACAAACATATCAAATAGACGGGCCTTTAAGTATTTAGCAGAGTGACTCTGGAAATAGAAGAAACAAGGTTGTCTAATGTTGGGCTTTTCATTGAGGAATAAGACAATTATGGTTCACATAAATGGAGGTTTAACAAAAGAGTGCATTTGCCTTACAGGCATTGAGAGGAAAGGCATGACATTTCTGTGTTAGCGATACATGCACACTCACTATTACAGGAAGTCACCTAGAAGGTGATACATGCACACTCACTATTACAGGAAGTCACCTAGAAGGGGCATAACTGGCTTGTTTAAATGGGCACTTATGTCAAAGTGGAAACTACTCTTTATAGAAGATATTATGGTCACTTTTCACCTGCAGCTGTCTTATCTTTAATAATGTAGCCTGAGGCTTTGGGTCTAGTGGG